CAGTCCGAGCGGACGATCGGCGACGATCCCCTAGCAAGAACCACGGGTCGGCCAGCGAAACCCCTGAGGCGCCTGCAACTCGCTATCGAGATCCGAGGTTTCTCGTTTGTCTCAAAGACGGGCAGTTTCATATGCAACTGGCCGGGCTGTAGTCGCCTGACAAGCATGATGCTACATAAGCAGATCGTAACCCACCGTCTCATTTGAAACTCCACGACTGCATTCTACACTCAGTTTCACCCATCATGACTACCAACGGCATCCAACCCGGCCACGTCGGCAATCTGACTCAGGATCAAGAGGCCAAACTACAACAGCTCTGGTCCATTGTCCTTACTCTGTTAGACGTGAAGTCCCTCCAAGGTGGAGATACCTCGGCACAGACCCAGCCCGACCAGCGTCCAAGCACGTCGCTCTCCCGAGCTGACACCGTCGTCTCCGCTCATGGCCAAACGGCTTTCACAGAAGACTTGTCTCAAGTCCTCCGAGAGAATGGCATGAGCAACCCGGACATCAAGTCCGTCCGGGAGTCGCTGAGCAACACCTCGATCGACGAACTCCGCTCGGGACTGTTGTACACTGCCAAACATGACTCCCCCGACGTCCTTCTGCTTCGCTTCCTGCGCGCTCGCAAGTGGGACGTCGGCAAGGCCTTTGGTATGATGTTGAGGGCGCTTGTCTGGCGCAAGGATCAGCATGTCGACGATAAGGTGATCGCGAACCCCGAACTCGCGGCACTAGTCACGTCTCAGAACACGGTGGATACGCACGCAGCCAAGGAGTGCAAGGACTTCTTGGACCAAATGCGTATGGGGAAGTGCTATATGCACGGAACCGACCGGGATGGCCGGCCTGTTCTCGTGGTGCGCGTTCGCTTCCATCAACCCTCGAAGCAGAGCGAGGCAGTTATCAATCGCTTCATCCTGCATACGATCGAGACGGCCCGGTTATTGCTGGCGCCTCCCCAGGAGACAGTGGTATGTCTATTCACCTTTTCTGTCCATGGTCTCCCATGTATTGTACCAGGCTAATCATCCATGTGGCAGACCATCATCTTTGATATGACTGGCTTTGGACTTTCCAACATGGTAAGTTGCACTGCAAATCAAGGATGTCTGCACGGGGAACTGACCATAACCAGGAATATGCCCCGGTGAAATTCATCATCGAGTGTTTCCAGGAGAACTACCCCGAGTCGCTTGGATACATGCTCATTCACAATGCCCCCTGGGTCTTCTCTGGTATGTTTGTAGTTTTAGTCTTCTTACTTGGTCCTCTCTAACGCAAGACAGGAATCTGGAAGATCATCAAGGGGTGGATGGACCCGGTGATCGTGTCGAAAGTGAACTTTACCAATAAGGTGTCCGATTTGGAGAAGTTCATTGCCCCCGAGCAGATTGTGAAAGAGCTGAAGGGCAAGGAAGACTGGACCTATGAATACGTCGAGCCGGTGGCCGGTGAGAACGAGCTGATGGCGGATACGGAAACCCGCGACCGCATCTACGCCGAGCGGTTGAAGATTGGCGAGGAGTTGCTGCTGCGGACCTCGGAATGGGTCTCCACCAGCCAGCGAAAGGACGCGGCCGCTACCACAACGGCCCGAGAGCAACGGAGTGAGACGATCGAGTCGCTGCGCCAGAACTACTGGCAGCTGGATCCGTATGTGCGCGGGCGCACATTCCTGGACCGGACAGGAGTAGTCAAGCCGGGCGGCAAGATTGACTTCTATCCGAGCCCAGATCTGGAGCCCGCCACAGCTAAGATGTTGGAAGTGGAGCATTTTGAGCGAACTCAGGTGAAGGTGGTCGATTTGCAATGATGGTTGGGCGATCGGGATTTGGCTGTTTACTTTGTAGATTCATGGCGTCAGATTTGGGAGTAATGCTCTTATGGGATAGTGGGTTTATTGTAGTTACCTGAATTGAATATTTCCTAACATATTTGCAAGATCCAACCGATATAGGTAACTTAAATATTCATTCGCCAAGAGGTAAATCGTCAGTATCTTCGTCAAGGGGATGGTGTACAGCAGAAGTCTCCCCCTTGGCGGCTTACCCAAATGGAGACTCCCGACCGCATAATCGCGCGATCCACGGGATTCGAGTTTCCCACGTGCTGAGTTACCACCCAATTCAATCTTATCCAAATTAATCACTGCTGCGACTAGTATGGATAGTCTTCTGTTGCTCTTCGACCCCAATGCTCTCTCATCTCTCCCATATAAACCATGCTCCTCCAAGATTCGGGATATGCTCAGAGGCAATCATGGCTCAGCTGCAGCGCAATTTAGCCCCATGCCGCGGAATCCGCTCCCTTGATCCATCATCTTCTCCCTAGCCCGCCCCTTTCCCACTTCCCTGCAAGCTCTAGTTGGCGCCCACTATCGGCGCCACCACTAGTCTCGGGGTCTTGCGGACGATCGATCCGGACACCACTGGCACTGACCAGCATTATCATCTTTCAGTCTTGCAGCCCAAAGCGCGACTGCAATCTAGTCTGTCTTCCTCTCTTGCAGGTGCCTTGCGCACTGATGTCCAATAATCTGGCATCTCGTTCCCCGCATTGGTTCCTGAAGATTCAGTTCAAGCGCATCCCTCCTGACGTGATTGATGTGCCTAAATCTCTCCCCTGGCTATCACCTGCCTATAGCGGCCTAGTTGTCAGCACTTGGTCCGGGTGATGCATCTGCTAAGTGGCTACCGGGCTAGTATTGCTGCATCTCTGTACGAAGCCATGAGTTTAGACTCTACGGGTAGTGGCCCCAGCTGCTCAGTCGGGTTGAGTTTTCTCCTCCTCTGGTCATCCTCCTCTGTTACCGTCTCATCTGATTGACAGAAAGATATTTGAAATTGATCGGGCTCTGCATCTGTGCAGCTGAGATGTGTCCCTCTTTTGATCACATCCATCCTCAACCAAGGGTACCCCTGTCCCCGATTGATAGCCATGTATAATCTCCGATTAGTGTACTTGTTCAGCTGAGAGAGGGGGTTACGACCATGTAATACAGTGGCTTCGGGGGTTATTCTTGTCGACCCGTCTGATTGGGTCTATTTTTCAGGCACTCGTCCGCGCATCCATGCTCCATTGGCTTGATGAAGCCCCCGCCTGACATTCCTCGCTGCCGGACCCTCCTGACCTTACCAGTCCGATCCATATTTATTTCTGCTGCCCCATGGCGCACGCATTGCAGTCCGTCACTGCAGCGTTACGGCCCTCCCTACCTACCTCAAGGCACATCCTCGTGGAATGCTGTCCACAATGGCCTTCTCCTTCCTTCGTGTTCTTTCCTCCCTCCTCCTAGTCCTGCAACTGTCGACAGCAGCCTCGACATCCACTCTTCGTCAATGCCTTCTCACCGCGGTGCAGAATGACCCGACCCTCGTCGCCGTTGATGGCGACCTTCTCTATCAGACGCTCGCCGTCCAGGTCTACAACCTGAACTGGCCCGTCACGCCGGCAGCAGTGGCATTCCCCAAGTCCACTCAGCAAGTCGCCTCGATCGTCAATTGCGCCGCATCACTGGGCTACAAAGTCCAGCCCAAGAGCGGTGGCCACAGCTATGCCAATTACGGTACCTAATCACTCCCCTCGCTCGTCAGCCGCTCACCCTACTAACCCCACACCATTCTAGGCCTGGGCGGCACCAATGGCGCGATCAGCATCAACCTCAAGAACATGAAATCCTTCTCCATGAACTACACCAACTACCAAGCCACCGTAGGCGCCGGTATGCTCAACGGCGAACTCGACGACTATCTCCACAACGCCGGTGGACGGGCCATCGCACACGGCACCTCCCCACAGATCGGCGTCGGAGGGCACGCAACAATCGGTGGACTGGGCCCCGCGGCGCGTCAATACGGCATGGAACTCGACCACGTCCTAGAAGCCGAAGTCGTCCTCGCCAATGGCACCGTCGTGCGCGCCTCCTCTACCCAGAACTCAGACCTACTATTCGCCATCCAAGGCGCCGGCGCCAGCTTCGGCGTCGTCACCGAGTTCGTCTTCCGCACCGAACCCGAACCCGGCTCCGCAGTCCAATACTCCTTCACCTTCGGACTCGGAAGCACCTCATCGCGCGCAGACCTATTCAAAAAATGGCAGAGCTTCATCTCCCAGCCCGACCTCACCCGCAAATTCGCCAGCATCTGCACCATCCTCGACCACGTCCTCGTCATCTCCGGCACCTTCTTCGGCACCAAAGCCGAATACGACGCTCTCGGCCTGGAGGACCAATTCCCCGGCCACACCAACTCCACCGTCATCGTCTTCACCGACTGGTTAGGCCTCGTAGCCCAATGGGCTGAACAGTCCATCCTCGACCTAACGGGCGGCATTCCCGCGGACTTCTACTCCCGCTGTCTCTCCTTCACAGAGAAGACCCCCATCCCATCCACCGGCGTCGACCAACTCTTCGAGTACCTCGACAGCACAGACACCGGGGCACTGCTCTGGTTCGTCATCTTCGATCTCGAAGGCGGCGCCATAAATGACGTCCCCATGGACGCAACGGGCTATGCCCACCGCGACACGCTGTTCTGGCTGCAGTCGTACGCCATCACGCTGGGATCTGTGTCCCAGACGACGTATGACTTTCTGGATCGTGTCAACGAGATCATTCGTAATAATACCCCCGGTCTGGGTAATGGGGTGTATCCGGGCTATGTGGATCCCCGGCTTCAGAATGCCCGCGAGGCGTACTGGGGGTCGAATTTGCCGAGGTTGATGCAGATTAAGTCGTTGTATGATCCGTCGGATTTGTTTCATAACCCGCAGGGCGTGTTGCCTGCATGATTGGGAGGGTATGACATTGTTGGATATGGTTTCTGACTCGTATATAGGCTTTGATTCTTGGATAGTATATTCAGTATGTAATTGGATCAGCCTCCGCTCCGTCTGATTCTTCGATATCACGATACCTGTCTTATAGTATTTCGCGCCATGGTCTAGTCACTTGCTGTCTACCATTCTATCGTGTCTATGCCGTAACTACATCGTACCTACAACCTCGCAGCCGGTCCATCCGACCGAAGAACCGCCAACGCGGCGGGCGTCACATCCGCCAAGGTACGACACCCCGTCAATTGCATGCAGCGTTTGAATTCTTCGTAGAGAATACCCAGAACGCGAGAGACACCGTTCTCCCCGTCATACTGTTGTCAGGTAGTTAGCATACTGTCTGTCACTCTTCCTTTCGTTCGTCTGGGTAAGTAACGGGAACAACATACAGCTAACCCCCAAATCGTTGGCCTCCCGATCCAGCAACACTCAGCCCCCAATGCCAATGCTTTAAAGACATCTGTTCCTGTTCGGATACCCCCGTCGATATGGACGCGTATCTTCCCTGCTGCGGCTTCGACGCATTCCGGTAGTGCGTCAATGGTTGGTACGACCTCGTCTAATTGTCTTCCGCCGTGATTGCTCACGATTACCCCATCACAGCCGTATTCTCTGGCGAGGAGGACGTCTTCGGCTGTCAGGACGCCTTTGATCCAGATTTGCATCTTCGTGACGGACCGCAGCCACGGGATCTCTTTGGCCCAGCTGTGTGAGTCTGAGTTTGTTGCGACGAAGCCTGCGTCGTGTGTGACCTGTTGTAGTTGGTCGGAGGTTACGCCCATCATGGGCCAGGAGAGGCCCTCGGGGGTGCGGAAGTCGTTGCGGGTTTCGTTGTAGCGGTATCCCAGGACGGGACTGTCGGCTGTGAGGAAGATGGCTTTGCAGCCTGATGCTTCGGCGCGACGGATGATTTGGGTTTGCAGGGCGCGATCGCGAAGAGTGTATAGTTGCATGGTGTGTGTTGCTGAAGGGTTGAGTTGTTGGCCTGCTTGGACGACTTCTTCGACTGGGTACGTGCTGAATGAGGAGACGGCCATGGGGATGTTTCGGCGGGCGCTGGCTCGGCTGCTGGCTAGTTCACCTTGTGGGTGTGCCATTGCTTGGATGCCGGTTGGGGAGAGGCCGAGTGGGAAGTCGAAAGTTTGGTTGAAGAGGTTGAGTCGTAGGTCTAGTTGGGAGACATCGACGAGGACTCGTGGGCGAAGTCGGTATTTCTTGTAGGCGGTTGAGTTCTCTGTTACGGTGATTTGGGTGGTTGAGCCGGAGTTGTAGAATTCTGGGGTATTGTTAGTGGATTGTAGGGTCTGAATAGATAGTGAATGCGGACCTCGCGCTTTAAGAGGGAGTTTCTTCGATCCGGCGTTCTTGATGTCCTCAATGCTGAGCATCAATTCGGGCAGGGAGGGAGCCATGGTGAATGTCGCTAGGTTAGAAAGAGTTCTATCGGTCGGAGAAGGATGATAATTGAAGAATTGAGTCGAAGATGGGTTGGGGGAGGTGTTACCCCTCGTTTATGCAGGTGGATCGTGTCTTATCGAGGGCGTGCGGGGATACAATGCCGAGTGACTTGTCTCTGCATCTGCAGGTTGCTAATCAGCCATTGGTGGCCGTGCTTCGTACCGCCATTTGTTCGCGTCGCCGATCCCCATTCACAAGTACTATGAGTAGTAGTACTAGTAGTAGCTTGCTGTGCAATTGACCAATCGCTTATAAGATGTGTAGGGTTCACGGTACTTCATCGAAAGCCCTTGATAGATGAAGATGAGAACGTGGGATATTGTGACCGCCGTATAGATGTAGTCGCATGCCTTCTGATTTCCAATGCAATCCCCATGACGGTCGCACTTCGCAGTCCAATTCGACTGTCCTCATAAATCGAATCCGACTTTTGTAGCAATCTGAATGCGGTTTTCCAGCGTTCGGGTGCACCGTCGTGGCACAGATCTGTTGTCTCGTCTGATATATGAGGGATAATGCGCGACACGACGGGTAAAGTACCAAGACTGGCACATTTGGTTAGTCTCCTTAGTGTCTGGGATAAATCATCAAGTAAGCAACAAACCCACTGTGTGCTCGTGTTAACTGGGACAAGCTAAGTAGATTGCTGCAGTATGGAGGAGCCGGATATCGGCGTGTAGGAATCATCGGTCAGGCCTGGATGAGTTGGCTGGAACCTAGGAACAGCAAAAACTGCAGCGTCAACACTGCCAATATTGGCAAGACACAAGTACTGGAATAGTACCAAGAAGAGTGGGGGTAGGAACGTGCTGATTGTCGGGGTGGAAAGGCAACTACCTGTTGCGGAGTGATGATCAAGAGATGAACTACTCTTCGAAGGGTATGGCAGTAGAGAAAGTGGCATATAAAGACCAAGGCTTCAAGATGCACTCACTGATCAATGAGAATCTGACAAGTCTCGATGTAGCTCAATGTCTTCTATACTAGTTGACAGATAGGTGTTGATCACTGAAAAAGGTGTTGGAAGGCTACAAGTAGAGGCAGCATGTTGGACGGGATGAAGTGATTTGAATAGCTTCAAATTAGCCGGTACAGGGAAAAGATTACAATAGGTATACATGCGTGGTGGTGCGGAAGGGCAGGTACCGTACGGGAGGGAGAAGGGGAGTTGGAGGGTAAGTACAGGATGAGAAGAACCGATGGGGATGGCTTCATCCAAGACGAATTGGGTTGATTGCGGCAAGATCACGCTGATGCGGTAAACGAAGACAAGACAGAATGGCTGGTAGCATTGGTAATGAGTAATAGCCTACTAACACTGTCATCTAGATTCTCTCCCACCACAGAGGAGTAGCCTCCTAGTAAGTAGGACATTTGTATAGCCTCACACAATCCTCAAAGGAACAAAACACCAAAGCAACAACAAAAGAAAAAAAAAAAAGGTGCCGGTTTAACCCAGTTACTTTCCCTTCAATTAACCTGGTCTTCGTGCTTAGTATCGAGTTGTAGCCGGTGGGCCCTACACTCTTAGACGCACACATTGAAGACTGCTTCAGGAACTGGCCTCGATATCACGCCGGTAGGGGCCGGGACTGGGATTCGAACGTGTGCCACTGTGTTCCCTGCAACCTTTACGGGAGGTAGTAACAGCCTTCTCTTAGGGCGACACTGGGCGGCTCATCAGCGTACCTTGAAGTCCTCCGGCCATTCGACCATCGGGTTCACTGGGTTAGTGGGGCTTCTCTTTTATCAAATATAAGGGAGCGTTGTAAGGATTTGAGGCTCCTGATTGGCTGGCGGTTTATGCAGAGGCAAGAGCAGCTGGAAGAGGGCTGGAGGACATATGAGGAAGGTGACAGTGAATTGCGCGAGGTGAGGTCATTGCGGGAGTTGGTAGTTGTGCGGAGGGCGGATAGAGAGTGGAGTGGATATAGCGGATATCAAAATTGCGGATGGGGTTGGCGGTTGCGGAGGTCTTGGCGACCACAACAGATTTCGAGGACCAGTTTGATCCTATCATTGGCAATTTGCATGGACTTCATGGCATGATGGTATCTTGAGAAATGGAGCGCAAGTGGAAATGTAGAGCTGAAATCATGGGATGGCCATGTTATATATAGCTTCGGACAATTCTCACTGTTAAGGACAACCATCGTTGGACACAGTTCTATCATAATGTTAGCAGAAAGGTCTCTAGAAGAATTTTTCATTCTTTTTGTATGCTCTCTCAGTCTGAAACTATGTATCTTTCATATAGACATAGTTCCAACTCCAGTTTCCAGTTCTCATAACTCATATTTCTTCTATCAGGTTTGACAGTCGTTGACAAAATATTCTCCCACGGATCATTGTGGGAGACGGCAGTATTATCCGCTTGCTGACAGACCAGGCGGTGAGACGGGCCCACCTAAGCGATGCCCCATCCATGTCTATACACCACCATCAACAGCTATACTATGAACCTCCAAAGATTAACAGATACTTCATTGCATTGGACAGGTATTCCTCTTCCTTGAATCAGTTAATTCTGGCAGCTGGTATGTTTTCGCTTTTGCTCATGGAAGAACTTTCAACTCCCTCTTCTCATTAATGGGTGATCAAGCAGTCTACCAGGACTGCTGTTCTAAAGTGTACTCTGTGTACTCTACAAGTCAATATGCCTCAACGCGATTATCAGCCATTCATAGAAATTGTTTCAACAGAATTTGCGATCTCATCTACTTCATCGTCAGCTCGTGATCGTTTTATACGAAGTTAAGGTAAATCACGTACCCCTCATCCCGTTGAGTGCTTCGAACGCAATCGCATAGTTTCCCAAAGCCTTCGAAACCTGCCGCAGGCTCTGTCGCAGTTCATCCAGGAACCCGCCTAGAGATCGACTGCTCGATGTCGCCAAGTCATTTCCCACTGGCTCACGCATCGCCCGGGCCTTCAAGCACAACATGATCATCGCATAGCTTGCCTGCATAGCACAACAGGCAAAAGTCGGCATCATCCGTGGTATCTCCACCCGGGAATTGCGTGAAAGGTAAGGTGGGTTAGTCAATGGGATCTCATTCGTCGGGTTTGGATACGGCAGGCTGTCCAGAAGGCTGACAATGTTTAATGCTGCATGAAGGCAGATTTTCGAGGACGCGTGTGCGGAAAACGGAAAGTCGATAGCTGCGGGCTCGGAGATCACGGAAGATAAAAAGCTGTCGGGCGAGGACGTAGGTGGTCTGGAAGCTTCAGCGACCTGCGCACGACAGCATCTAGGCCCTGCAGCTGCGTCCAGGTCGCAATGGCGCTTGCGAAAGACGGGAATATCTTGGAAAGCGCAAAATCGGTGAGTCTTAATCCTAGCGCTACATGGAGTTAGTCATGGCTGTTACAAGAGTAACATGCAGGTATATACCTGTGTAGCTTGATTTCTGCAATGTGTCTTATCGTGTGCAGGGCAACGACGTCCGGTGAGTCCTGGGTTGCGACAGGCGATTTTATGGCCGAGTCTTGAATCGACACGCGACATGGATGCAGCAGACATGTTATTTGGTTGTCTAGCTCTGTCATCCGCTGAGGAACCCAGGAGGCATTGAAGTGAGACTTTGTGGTTAGATCCAAATCGTGAACGAAGGTTGTGGCTTCGAGAATGGTCTGCTGGGCCTCGATGAGCAGTTTCCATCCCTGTACGTGTCAGAATCTGTCAATCCACGAGAGATAGATACTCACCTCTGGAATTGGTGTTACAAATCGAGGGTCATACGGATTAATGGCAGGGGGCTATATGTGTAAGTTACGCATGTCCGAGACCTGGAGCACGACTACATACCATCCCACTAACAATTGATCCTTGGCAGACCGTCAAATACTTCATGATGTTAGCGCAATTTGTCTGTCAATAACTAGGAGATACTGACTGTGATCCACCAAGCTCTTCGACGTGCCTCAGAGTATTCATCCTCATCGACCATCTCGTGCAGCGACATGCTCATGGCGGCTGTCAACGCTTGCCCCGCTCGATTACACATTTTGTTTATGTTCCCCCTTTGAGCATACTCATATACGCTCAGCACCACCAATGCTAGAACCGCTTCCAGACAAACGGGAACTTTGCTATGAAATTCCTTCCGCTGATACTGGGGTGCGCCGTCGGAAAGAGCTTTCGATGGATCGACCGAAGAGTCCAGCAGCTCAAGGTCAGTCTCCACGGCCTCTAGTGCAGACTGTGCAAAGGAATGGGCAAGGTCTCGACGCAGCTTGACATACTCCGACCGTGAAGGCTGTTTCACCTCGGGATGCGGTATAAGGGCGAGAATGGCCGATATGGCTAGGCTAAGAGGGCTAGAAGGTCGAAAAGGCGACCTTTCGGACAAAGGGCGATTGCAAACCGGCACCCGTTCTGGGGGAGGCAATATAGGATAATAAAGGTGAATGAAGACATAGTAGGCGTCCAGTCTGCGCCGGTCAGAAAAGTTTAGCGGAATGTCTGGGTGAATCTTACATGTCTGCATCACTCGCGTACGTCTGCAACAAATCCGGTGAAGGGACAGGAGGTTCCGGTACCATGGATGGTTCATCAACCATGAATATTGAATCAAATATCTGTTCCATTTCAGTCACGGAGCTTTCGACACTGCGCAGTCCTGCGCCTGGGGCGCCCAGGCTCAAGATCTGGCTGAACCAGCCTGGGGAATCATCAGCTTAAGGTCTTCTGCGATACATCGACAACTGCCTAGGCTGTGTACCATCTTCATCCGAGCTCGACGGCGGACCCTCGATGATGGGGCTACCTCTCTTTTGGGTCTGATACCCTTCATCTGGCGCATCAGAGACTGTTGTCGGGGGCGTTGATGCCCGTTTACGCTTGCGATTCTGGCAGTTTCGTGGACCGCCTCGTTTACTAGGAACATAGCAACATATCGTATCCTTGGCGACACAGTTGGAGCATCGTTCCTGGCCGTCGCAACGCACCCGC